TCCCTTTTTAATGTTGTTATTATTGCTATTATCGTGATTATTATTGTTTCCATCATTATTAAAGATAACTTTACTGTTCATAATAACCAATATATCAATAATATTATCACAACTAATATTACCATTAACATAATCACAATCGTTAATAACACAGCCGCAGTTAATGTTGTTAAAAAATGCAGACGTCATCACCATGTCTACAGACAGAACCCAAATTAACCCACATGGAGATAGTAAACGTCAATGCCGCCCTCACCTGCCCTCTACATATGAAACGCTACAATCTTGACAGTGAAATAGACAGAATGAAAATAGCGTAAATACGGGTGCTCAAAAGTATGAATGCATAACTGCACCTAACCGAAGAATATGGGTGTGTATGTAAAAACTAACATCTATAGGGTTGATTGTATTCGTGTCTTTGTAGATGTGAGTGTCATCCCAAACAAACACAGAAGAAAAATCCCCCCCCCCATCACACACAAATAATCAAACACAAATAAAGCATAAATAGATCCACTTTTGGAAAATACACCAATTTGTCTGAAGATCGCGAAAGCGTGAAACCCGGTGTTACAAATTACTATCCATGCAATTGCATATGTTGCCTCTATCACGGATATTGAGTATGTTCCACTAAATATACATATATATATATATATATATATATATATATATTATTGTTATACGTTATTTTATAGACACAAATATTTAAGTAAATGCTCAGTTTATAATAAAATGTGTTAACAACATCTACATTTAATATGTATATAATATAAATCGACCTTAGTAACTAGACGCTTCCTTCGTAGCTAAACTGGTATAGCACGTCAGGCCATATTACGGTTCCGTGAAGGATGCAGGTTTGATTCCTGTCGGAGGACGCATATTTTCTATGAAAGTTCTCGGACATTATGTTGTCAATAGTTTATTATAAACGGAGCATTTACTTAAATATTTGTGCCTATATAAATAACATATAAGAATAAAATATATTAAAATAATTGTCGAACTTAGTTCCTTTAATAATAATAATAATAATAATAATAATAATAATTATATATATATATATATATATATATATATATATATATATATATATATATATATAATTTCTCATAATTAACCTGTAGAAAAAAGACAATATGTATGAAGCGGGGAAAAAAAAAACAACCCGAAAACTGTAATTTAAGCAGACGCGTTTCGTCCAATGTGAACCTTTTCAAAGTAAAAAAAGAAGTGGATTTATTGAAACCTTGTATCTATAAATAACTAACAAAATGTCTTTGGCAACTAGAAGAATTTAGAAACGCTATTGTTTATTCACATGGTCAACTGAAAAATTACCTCAATTACTTTATGTTTTAAGAGAATATTTTCGCACGTAGAATTATTGTTTGTATTGTTGTGTTGACGGATTCGACCGCTTTCTTTTGATTTATAAATATATCCGTTGTTTATTTTGGTTTGTGAGATTAGTGATTCTGATAGAAAAAGTGATATCCGGAAAATAACCCGGGGCGTATATATATATATATATATATATATATATATATATATATATATTAAGATATTTTTTTATGTTTATACGCTCCTATTACAGACACAAATACTTAAGTAAATGCTCTGCTTATAATAAACAGTATTAACGACATTTACCGACCTGAATGTCCGAAAAAATTCATGTTTCTAAAAATAATTGTCGGACTTTGTCCATTTCATAATGTGTAACGTCATTTGTTTACATTTGGATACGCATCGAGCAGATATGAATGTACGAGAGAAAATCATGGAGAATTGTAGTTTAAAAACAGTAAAATCGACCTCGTTAACCAAAACACTCCTCCGTGGCTCAATCGGTAAACCACGTCAGTACTTTTTTATTATAAGTAGAGCATTTACTTAAATATTTGTGTCTGTAGGAGGTGCGAATAAACATAAAAATGTCTTAAAATAATTGCCAGACGTTGTCCATTTCATATATATATATATATATATATATATATAATGGGGAGAAGAAGAATATTTATGCTTCTCCCAGGGGTATTAGCACGTAAGTGAATTTAATGGATTCGAATGGAATTCGAACTCGGCTCTCCAATTTCTCAATTCGGGGCGCTATCCATTACACATGAATTTATTTTAGGAAAATGAGAATTGGGATGCGTTCAAATATTTAAAGGTCCACTTATAGGGTAAACATATTTTACTTACTTTCGGGACATAAAAACCGAGAGTAGTTTCCGCATCTATCATTATATATCGTACTTTTTACATTCCAATATAGCCAAAATGCAATAATCGAACATAGACAGAAAGGATTTAAATATGTTTGGAATCGACAGGCAAAAGTAATCGTTAAAAAAAAAATCTGTTGAAATTAATTAAGAAATGACCAAAATGAATTGAGAGGAATTCAGGTGTAGATAGGCGTGAAAATGGATAAAGCAAAGAGAATCTAGAAAAGTCAAAAAAAGAACTGAAAACATGAAGAGAATAAAAAAAAAGGATCGAGGAAAGAGAATTTGGAATAAAGAGTTAAAGTGAAGAAACCTAGCGGAAAGAGAATATGGAAAAGATGAAAGAAGAGTTAAGGAAAGAAAGGAGTGTAGACGAAAAATAGTAGAAAGAGAATCTGAAGACTTCAAAGAAAGAAAAGATTAAAGAAGGAATAAAAACAGAAGAACAAATCTGAAAGTCAAAAAAAGCAAAGAGGGAAGAACAAAGAAAATCTGAAGGGGTCAATAAGGAAAGGAATAAAAAAAATAATGGAAAATTGAAGAAAGAGAACCTGAAAGAATCAAAGAAAGTTAGGAGTGTAGAAGAACGAAAAATAGAAAAAAAGAAAGACAATCTGAAAGAGTCAAAGAAAGAAAGAAAGAAATGAAGAAGAAATAAAAAATAAAATAAAAGAATAAAATGGTGTCAAAGAAAGAAAAGAGTGAAAAAGAAAAAGTGGAAGAAAGATAATCTGAAAGCGTCAAAGAAAGAAAGTGAAGAAGAAATAAAAATTAAAAAAAAATCAGGACACAAAGAAAGAAAGGAGTGAAGAAAATAGTAAATGAAAGATAATCTGAAGGAGACGGGAGTAAAGAAAGAAAGAAAAACAGAAGAAAAAATCTGAAAGAGTCTAAGAAAGAAGTGAAAAAGAATCAAAAATAAAAGAAAAATCAGAATGAGTCAAAGAATGAAAGGAATGAAGAAGAAAATGTAGAAGAAAGATAATCTGAATGAGTCACAGAATAATGTGAAGAAATCAAAATCAAAAATCAGAATGAGTCCAAGAAAGAAAGGAGTGAAGAAAATAGTAAAAGAAAGATAATCTGAAGGAGAAGAAGAGTAAAGAAAGAAGGAAAACAAAAGCATCAAAGAAAGAAAGGCATGAAGAAGAAAGAAAAGTAGAAGAAAAAAGAATATGAAGACGGCAAAAAAAAAAAAATAAGGAAAATAAAATTGATAGAGTTAAAAGAATCTAGAATACACAGCAAAGGATCGAATTAAGGAAGGATAAAGAAAAAGTATGAGAAACAGAGGACAGAAAATATGGATGCATCACAGAAAGAAAGGATAAACAAAAAAAAATACAAGAAAGATATTTTGGAACAGTCGAATGAAAAAGAAAAAAGAAGGATAAAATAGAGGAAAGAGTATCATACGAGTCAAAAAAAGGAAGAAGAAGAAAGAAAAACAGAAACAATAAAATCTGAAGGAGTCAAAGAAAGAAAGGAATGAAGAAAAGAAAAATGGATAAAGGAAAGATTCTTAAGATGTGACAAAGAAAGAACAGAGATGGATAAAATCAAATAGATATGTGGATTAAAGAAAGGAAATATCCAGGCGTTAGGAAAAACATTAAGGTTCTAACCTAACATTAGAAATGTGAATTTAGAGAAACGTGAAATAGAGAAATTACTCCAGGGCACTGAAAATTTCCCGGCTCAATCCGTATTCGAAAGTCAGATCAAATACCTAAATACCACATACGTTTCAGCACCCCTTCGAAGTGAAAATAAAAATAAAAAATGATAAAAAAAAGAATTCTATATATCTGAGAAGCTGATTCCAGTTAAAAAAAAAAAAAAAAGTTGCTTTAATAAACACGTTAAAACAAGAAGCAACAGAAAAAAGGAAGACTGAAAATTACGGAAACCACACGGATGATAAGATTAGCGATACAGCTGAAGAAATTAAGACAGGAATACGTGTGATACACGGAAAAGCGCAAGGAAGGTTTAAAACGAACGAAGGAAGAATGAAAACGAAGAGACGGAAGAAAGAAGTGATGGAATGGTTGATGACGGCAGCTGATATCTGCACCTGCATCGAAAGGAAGCGTTTTGTGCAGAGACAAAGAGGTTTGTGTTTCGATTGGCAGCCGACGTGGCATCGACGGTGGTGAAACAGGAATACATGGCGGCCAAGTCGGGTGAAGTAATGGCGACGACGAACGGGACCAGGATCGATGCGCAATCAGCGATGATGTTGTACACCTGAACAATCTTTATGGTCTCAACCTCCCGCCCTTACTTGCTATTACCGCTTACTCTTACTACTCCACACTTACGTTGTTTTCTTTAGCCTATCTTCGGCTTTCAACTCCTCGCTGTTTCTCCATTTTCAATTCCCCCACTTCCTCCTACCGCTTTCTTCATCGTCCACCCACTCCTCTAGCATTCTCCTCCTGCTTCTTGCATTTTCCCTCCTACTTCCTTGCCTCTTTTTTTTCTTTGCCTTTTATTTTTCTCCGATGCTTTATATACTAATTCCTCTTCCTCTTACTTCTTCATTTTCCTCTTTACCTCTTTCTTTCATCTCGGACTAGCCGTTCTCTCCTCTCTCATTTTCTTACACTTTCTTTTTCTTTTTCTTTTTTATTTTCCTCATTCGTCTTTTCCTATTCCCCTCCTCTTTTTCGCTTCCAACTCCTTCAGATTCTCCTATTCCTACTCGCCATAACCTTTCTCTTGAAATTTCTCTCATCCTTCTCTCTCTTGCTAGGTTTACGGCCACATCACGTTGGAACATGTGTTACCGCATGATAACCGAAGTTAAACAACGTCGAGCCTGGTCAGTACTTACATGGGTGACGGTTTGGGAATACCAAGTGCTGTAAGCTAGGGTGCGCGGGTGGTGTAATGGATAATGTCTCTAGTTTCAATTCCAGTTCGGTTCCTTATATTCATTTACGCGCAAATACCATTGGGAAATGAATACCCCTCTTTTCTCCCAAGACTTGTATCACTAAACCATTATTATCTTAAAAAAAAAAAAAAGAAAGAAAAACCATTCTAACAATCTAAAAATATTTAACTAACCTGCAAAGGGCTGATAAGCCGTAAATAATTATTCAATCAAATTAAATCTTTCTTCCCTCCCCGTTCTAATTTTCCTAATCGTCTTTCTTCTCTTTTTTACTCTTTTATTCTTTTTAATCTTTCTTGTCTGCTTTTTATTCAATTCATTTGCCCTCTCTTTTCTCTTCCTCTTTCTTTTCTTCCTACTTTGTTTCCTCTTTTTCCTCTCTTTCCTCTACTAATGACTTCTTTTCCTTCCTTTGCGTCTCCTCCAGACTCTCTCTGTGTAAATCTAAGTTCTCTCCTATTATTTGACTCCTCCCTAACATCTTGTTTTCTCTTCTCTTCCTGCTCCTCCTCCTCGTTTGATATCTCCTCCTTGTAGCTTTCTGCTTTTAATTTTTTTTTTTCTTCGTCTTCTCCAACTTCTCGAGAGTCCTTTCTCTTCTCACCAGACTTCTGTACTTTTCTCCTCTGTCTTTTTTGTCTTTCTTCTTCATTGCATTTGCGTGGTTTCATCTTTGTTCTCGCCCTCTTTCTATTCGCTCTCTTCTTCTCGTCTCTCCATAGCCTGCTATTTCTACTACTACTACTACTCCCTCCCTCTCGTTTACCGTCTAATCTCTCTCTCGATCTCTTCTAGCCATATTTCTCTTATCGTCCTTCTCTTTTGTCCATCTGCCTCGTCCTTCCACTTTTCCTCTCTATTCGCTTTTTTTCTTTCTTTTTTTTCCCTCATAAATACATTTATCTCTTCTTTTCTTTCTTTCTTTCTTTCTTTCTTTCTTTCTTTCTTTCTTTCTTTCTTTCTTTCGTGCTTGCTTCTCTTTTCCATTCTTTTTTCTTCGTCCGGTTCACCTTCCCCGTTTTCTTTATGTATTTTTTAAAAGATTTTCTTTTCTTTTTTTTCTTTTTCAATTGGTTCCCTTCTTTTTTCTCCTTTTTTTCTTTTGACTTTTATTTTCTTTTTCGTTCTTTTTCCCTATTTTTTCTGTCCCTTTCTCCTTTCCTTTTTCTTTACTTCCCCTGTGACTTATTTGTTTCAGCAACGCCTATACAGTAGACATCGTTTTCTGATTTGACGACGATGGATCAATATGTCCGTAACTTGATATAGTTCTTAGCTGAATTTCTTTTCTTAAATCTTTATTCTGTGTGCATGTCTCTGTACGTGTCTGTGTCTCGTTGAATATGGCAGACAAGGAAAATTTGATTAATTTTTTATTTACTTTTTACATTTTTCCGTTTTGTGGGAGTAAGGAAGTGCACAAATTGTTCGTATTGTCCATTGCCCCAAGCTTTTTCGACAATTTTATCTATATTCATAGGGGTTTTGTTTTGAAGTGTTGTTAATTTCTTTCCATATTTTTCTGTTTAAGATATAGTTTATGTACTATTTGAATAATAGTAGCGTTTATTGCGATCTTCAGCCAATTTTTACACTCCCTTACTTCGATTAAATGTAAAATGTAAGAATGTTGGAAATACTAAATAAAAAATTAATCAAATTTGTCTTGTCTGTTATATTCAACGAAAGAGGTTTGAAAGAAAAGGTTGCAGCCAATATATATATATATATATATATATATATATATATATATATATATATATATATATATATATATATATATGTTTTATTGATATTTTTATTTTTACAAAATAGTGCTCAATGTAAATTTACAGAGCATAAATATTACAAATTAACTGATGTAAAAATATGATTTCATCGCTACACCGGAATTACCATGTTTCAAAAACCGAAACCAAAAAATTCAAATTCAATTATATTAAATTAAAAGCATTCAAATTATATTAAATTAAAAGCATTGAAATTCAATTATATTAAATTAAAAGCATTCAAATTATATTAAATTAAAATCATCCAAATTCAATTATATTAAATTAAAATCATCCAAATTCATTTAAATTAAATTAAAAGCATTCAAATTCAATTGTATTAAATTAAAAGCATTCAAATTATATTAAATTAAAATCATTCAAATTCAATTATATTAAATTAAAATCATCCAAATTCAATTATATTAAATTAAAATCATCCAAATTCAATTATATTAAATTAAAAGCATTAGTTCTGTTTCATCTTCACGCGAATTTTTGGATTCCTAAATTCGCCTGAAGATGAATACTTTTAATTTAATATAATTGAATTTGAAGTTTTTGGTATCTGTTTTTGAAACATGGTAATTCCTGTGTAGCGATGAAACCATATTTTTAAATCAGTTAATTTATAATATCTATCTATCTATCTATCTATCTATCTGTCTATCTATCTATCTATCTATCTATCTATATATATATATATATATATATATATATATATATTTAGGCAGCAATCATTTTTTCATGCACATTTCATTGAATACGACAGACAAGGTACTTTCATTTAGTTTTTTTTTCTTTTCAGATGATAAATTATATAGAAACTGTCCAATTGTTCTTTTTATCCGAGCGCTTTCGGCTATACATTTAGCCATTTTCAAGGTGGAAATGTATTAACTGTCAACGAGAAATTGATTGTATGTATTCATATAATATCTTCATTTTCAAAACACAGTCAAGATATTGTCCCAATGTTCATAGTTGATATTATTGAGTGCTGTTTATTTTTTGTTTTTATTAATAAGGCTTCCTTTATTTTTTAGCCTTTTTGCATGGAGATGATGCCATTATATTTCTGTTGTTAACAAGTATGTTACGAATAGGATCCGGTAGGTCTCCATGAATATTTAAATGAGAAATAGAAAGGAAAAACAGGCAAGTCAAAAACAGTCTCTCACCGAGTAAAAGAAAGGTGACGGTTCTTAATTACTATTGAAAATGACCTGATGTGACATTCAGCTTGCCGAGTGGCAACCAGACCGGCCACTAGAATAGATTCAATAATGAGCAAATATTGGCCAAAGCCATTCTTGACCTGTCAAATCCGCTATTCGACTTGAAATATCTTTTAAGCATAATTTTTCAAGTCTAAAGTTTGAATTATTGCATATCAGCAGTGCTGTGTCGTATACTCCTGCCTCCAAAACAAATCTAGTGTCGGCGACAAAACTAATCTGGCCGTGCGTCTCGAAATGGACCTCCAATCAGTTGTTAACTGGGGCAAGAATTGGCTGGTCAACTTTAACGCCACTAAGACTAAATTACTCTCCATTAACCACCATAGAGATCCTTCCCTGCACCCCATTATAATGTCTGATAGTCAACTTCCTGAGAGCAATTCCTGCGTCTGCTCGGTCTCACGCTGACTGCTGACCTGAGATGGAACAAATACATTGAGTCAATTTGCTTCTTCCATCGCGAGGAAAGTTGCTCTCTGTGCCGCGCCAGGAAATTTTTCTTCCCTGAATCTATACTTCAAATATACAAAACAACCATTCGCCCTTGCATGGAGTATTGCTGCCATATATGGGCTGGGGCACCTTCTGCTTACCCTGGAGTTCTTGACAAGATCCAGAGACGGATATGTAATCTAATTGGCCCTGATCTGGCGTCTCGTCTACAGTCACTATCTCACAGACGCGCCGTCGCCTCTCTCTGTCTTTTCTACAAATACTTCCATGGTAACTGCTCTGACGAGCTGCTTTCACTGGTTCCCAGACTCCATGAATTCAAGCGCCCTACGAGGCTGACATCCCGCTCCCACCCTTACACCGTAGAAACTCTCTAATGTAGCCGTCTCTTCTACTCCAATAGTTTCATACCTCGCACCTCTCGCCAGTGGAACACCCTCCCCAGTTACTGCTTCCCTGAAGGCTATAATCTCCAACTATTCAAATGTAATGTCAATCGACATCTCCAGTTACCTTGATCTACCCACTATCCTTCTCTCCATCCTTTCTCCTATCACTCCTATCTGCTCTCGCTCCAAATCTTCTGCAACCCCCTGCATACTAGTGGCTTCACGCCTTGCTTGGGGCGTAATGCTTAAAAAAATAAAAATAAAAATAAAATAAAATATGGTTACTAAGGCTAATGTCATGTACGCCACTTGGGTGGGAGGCGTCACGACGTCAGTGAACACATAATGTTAGTCATATTATAATTCAGTTTATTCCGCCGATAGCTAGAAGGTTAGCACATGCATTAAGCCCTGCCATTGCACCGGAGAAATAATGGATATTCCGTTTTGATTGCGAGGAAAGACGGGAGGAAACATAGATTAGAGACGATATTTGGTTTTAGTGATTTAGTTTAGCGGCATATCAACATTTATAGTTTATATAATGCCGAAATTTAAATATTTTGAATGCAATTGTATGCCTTCAACTACAGATAAAATATGTTTTTGTCATTTTACTATAAACAGGTATTGTTGGTAATATTTCTTTACATAAAAATTGTTGTTATTTTTATACTTTCATGTTTTTTTTGTTTTTATTTGGTGGTTCACTATTTGCTTATAGCTGAGACCCTAACAGGCGCTACCACCCGGTGTCAGGGCTGACCTGGGAACAGTAGCAATTTAGAGGTGGTTCCCCGCTCCCCAAACTCGCTAATCTCCTGATCAGCGGCCTTGTTGCGGGATAAAGTTTAGTGAGAAAAAGAATGAAATAAAGAGATTGTTTATTTAATGGCATATCAACACCTTATGGGACATTTAATGCTGAAATTTAATTTTCTTGGAAGCATTAGGAATTTCATTTACAGAAATGCATTGCTGTTTTATTCTGTTTTTTTTTTTACGTATTGCTGGTAATATATATATATATATATTTATTAAAGATATTTTTTATGTTTAACGTTCTTTTTATAGATACAAGTATTTAAATAAATGCTCTGTTTATAATAAACAGTATTAA